GAGGATGAAGTGGGAACCTGGTTGTCCTCTGAGCCTGCAATCACAGAATCATAAAGATTGGAAAAGATCATCAGGTCCAACCATCCACTTACCAACAATATTGCCCACTGATTGCGTCCCTCAGTGTCACATTCCCATGGTTCTTGAGCACCTCCAGGGACAGTGATACCACCACCGCCTCCCTGGGAAGCCTGTGCCAATCCACCACCACTCTTTTTGAGAAGAGATGTTTTCTAATATCCAACCTGAGCCTCCCCTGGTACAACTTAAAGCCACCCTCATCCTATTGCTATTACCTGGGAAAAGAAGTCAAACCCCACCTCACCACAAAACGTCCATGTGCCATTATGTAGACATGAAGAACCATCCAGCCAGGCTGACTGCAGGGCTCATGAAGGAGATACCTACAACTGTCTGCTTGAGAGATGCTGAAGAAAAGAGCCTTCATCCTGCCAAGTTCTGGACACAAAACATCCTGCTCAGATGTCTCACTTGAGCCATGGTGACGTGTGGCTGTGGCAGACACATAGCAGCTTTCCTGGGAGTTTATTTTTCAAAGGCTCAGTGTGTTCCATTTCAGTACGGCTGGAAAATCTATTGTGTCAGTGCCCCAGCCATGCCTGTGCATACTTGCATTTTCATTACAGTATTTTTAGAGATTTCCACTCCTCGGCCTGATTTGGGAAGAAGTCAAAAATGTGAAATCTTGGACACTACCACAGGAAAAGAAACTCAATTTTTCAGTCAGCATTAGATACAGCCCTCAGACGTGGTGATGGATGTGCTGCCAGCCTGGAGAGCTGCACTCCAAAGATAAGGGCCTGATGTGTCCCAGGAGGACTCTGTCCCCCAAGGAGCTGCTCCCAGCCCATCCTGCCCAAAAGCCACCCCGAAACCCAGCGGTGCTAAGGAGCAATGCCAGCAACATGGTTTGACTGCCTGTGCACTGAAAACTCACCTACTTCTAATCTGGTTGCTTTTCGGGCAGATAGAACCAGCCTTTCTGTCCACTTCCGTTGCACATGGTGCACTTTGGGGTGAAAACCTCCTGGACCAACAGCTGCAGCCAGAAACCTATTGAGCACATTTATCTAGTGACATCCTGTAAGAGCAAAGCTCTACAGTCACTCAGCTTTCCTCCATCAGGTTGATGTTTCAAGCATTTCCACACACCCAGTAGCACTGAGTAAAGCAACAGCCTAGATTCTCACTAAAGGGTGCCTCAGTCCATGGGCCTCACCTCTAGCCAAGCATCTCATGTCAGATGAAGGTCAGCCCAACACTCTGTGACGAGGCCATGAGGGGTGGATGTACTGGGATCCCAATGAGAGGTCATGTTGAGCTGAGCTCTGCTGGTGTTTCTCCCGAAAGCAGGATCCCACATCTTGCTGAGGAGCTCAAACAACTCCAGCCCTGTGGCTGGTTTGGAAGCTACGCCATTTGCAACTCTGTTTCTTTTGATAACCAGACAATCATGTGCTAGGAGCTGATGTTATCATTTCAGTATCAAGGAGCAGCTTAGCTCAAGGCAGGTTAACTGCAGATGCTCAGCAGGTACCTGCCCTCTTTAGAAGGTTCCCAGACATCAGTCGCTCCAAACTTTCAGCCCAGTTGCCTTAATTCAGAAGTTAGGAGTCCATCACAGGGAAGCAGGAAGGTAGCCAATACACACTCAGGAATCCCCCCAACAACTGCTGTATCCCTAAAACACAACTCACCAACTCCAACCAAGCCTGATACCTTTCCCCACAAAGAAAAAAGCTCCTCCTTAGCACCTGCCCACTCCTATTTTAACAGCTGACTCCACTAATTAGCCCTCATTAGCCTCTGTGCCCCTCCTTTGTTTGGCAGTGAAGTCTCTTCCCTGTTGAGGTGATCCCATTTTGTCCCCCATCCAGGCAGTGAGACCAAGCACTTTTCCTCTTCTGGTTTCCTTACCTCCCACCCTCTTTGCCAGCCCCCCAGCCCCACCATAACAATGCCCAAGCTTTAGCCTCACCACACTCAGGGATCTTCCCATCGCCAGCCCACGCTGTGGGACCTCAGGGCAGTAACACGTCACACGTGGGGCAGCTGATGGGGACTGGGGAGCTTTTCCCCCACCTTTTATTGAAAATCATTTCTATTCTAGTGCAAACACTGTACATTTTACATCACAAAGCCAGAGATAATTTACAGGATCCGCTTCCATCTGGGAGTCCCTCCCATGGCATCATGTGTCAAACCCCCCCAGCTTCATCTATCATCCATGCCATGACTGCAAATCCCATTCACAGAGAATCGGTGCCTGTTCCTGTGTCGGGAAGGGGGTAAGGCTGAGAAATCAGTGCTTGTACAGAACAGGCAAGTGTGACTCAAGATCATTTTTTCCCCTGAACCGTACTAAAATATGGCAATAATGGGGGTAACCATGGCAACGTCCTTGGAGCTGCAACCAAACACCTCCTAAAACCCCACAGCACTCCATGCCTTCAGGACAAGGCTCTGAATTTGCAAATCTATTTACACAGTTCAGTAACATACAGATAAAATGAACATGATGGTAACATTTGGCTTGACAGATGATACTGCATGTTGGCTGAGGCCATTGGCGACTGAGTACAAACAAAACCTGCCCATTGATCCAGCTGCACTCGTTTAGCAGATATATGCGAACAAAGCACTACTGATATTATGTGAACCCCTTTGTGTAAACATCCTAGCATGGGCCTTGAGATGTGTTTCTCTGTCCAGGAATGAGTAACACTGGTCGGGTGCAGCAGAGGGCAGAAAGGCAAGGAGGGGGTGAGCCAGACACTGGGCAGACAGCTGAGGAGCTGCCTGTTGCACCAGTCCCTTTTCCTTCTGATGTTGCAGGACAGTTTTCAATCATGGCTCTGTTTGTGTAGGCACAGGAACCAAGAGTTTCTAAATGAAGGCTGAGATTTCCAATAGCATAACCTGGTCCCAGGAGCTGGAACTGCATACTTGTGATAGAAATAGTTTGGTTTAGAAATGCCAGCTCCTCTGCACTATAGAAGGCCAAAAAAAAAAAAAAAAAAAAGGATCAAAACAGAACATCAGGGATTTCTTAAAATCCCTGTTCAGTCTTTGTGTTCTGTTCTGTATAGCTTTAAGTCCTGATCACACGTGCATTTCTTCTTTTGTCAAAAAGGAAGAAAAAAAAGTCCACAAGCAATCACACATGCAATCACCAGCACAACTTACACCAGTTTGGATTCAGGGCTTTGTTTCCAGCGTAGCTCAAATACCTTGTCTGGACTTCCGTTCATACTCAGCCAGTATAATTTCACCTTCACTTTAAAGAGATTTATTTCTCATTTCCTGTAACGTGCTATTTTAGACTACCCTGTGGCAGACATCTGCACATGCCCAAGGCAGCAAACACCAAGATGGAGACCTAAGGAGTATCCCTCATGGCCGAGCTTCATTCTCCTCCCCACATCCCTGTGTGGACCACAGATAAGCTCTGCTGAATTCAGTAGGGCAACTCCAGGGTTAGCATGGGACATGTCTCTTAGAGAAGCACTATTTGCCATAATTAAGCCCCTTCCTCACCCAAGGTTTCCAAGAGGCAGGCACAACAAGCAACACGAAAGATCCTAAGATCTTTGCTTGCATGGAAGACACACCTTTTGGGTTGCATCTTCTCTGCTTTTCAAGGAGAGAAGGAAATAAGGTTCTAATTGGCTCTTCAGATGAGGGAGGGCAGGTGGGAAGAGTAAAGGAGAGTGGTGAAGGCTATAGGGCAGGTGGTAATGATAGGTCTGTGTGTTCTCCCTGCTGAGACATTACCCATCCTCTGAGGGATTGGTGGAAACTTTCCACCCGATGTCCCTGTGCGTTCCCAGTCACACGAACCCACCTAGTCAGTTAGGTGACAAGATCCTCATCTTATTCCATCAGGATGCAAATACCCAAGAGAAAAATGTGCATAGAATTGTGGCTTCCCTCCTGCCCCACTGCTGTGGGGTTTCCCATGGGAGGAGGAGAGCCACTGTGAGTGCTGCAGGAGGCTGTGGGGAAGGGCTCTGACAAGGGTGAGAGATGTTGTGGCTGGAATCTCAACGCATGGCTCCAGGAACCTGGATGCAGCACAAACATCCCAAGCATTTTCAATGGATTTTATTTCGTTTAATAAAAAACACCAACCAAGCTTGCATGTATATCTTATATATATAAATATATACAGTATATATAAAACAAATGCATCTGGACAACGCCTCTCCCTGTGGCACAAGCCATAAGGCATGGAAAGGAGTGTCCTAACAGTCCTATTCTTGGCACTACAGAGCAAACCCTTCTCCATCCTCCCCCCACTCACAAACACACATTGGCTTTTCTCTCTTCTTTGGCTTTTCGAGGCGCTGACAACGTGTGTGAAGCCCACAGAGATCTTCCTTGTGTCGTGGTCCAGGCAACCTGGCAAGGATGCTCCCAGCCCATCGCGCCAATGGGCTTCTTGCAGTCAACATGAACAGCATTGCCTCTGGGGAACAAGGGATGTGGGAGGGGACGGAAGGTCAGGTGGATACAACGGAAAGCAGTGACCAAACAATTTCTTCTTCTAGGGTGAGCTGGGGTGGGGGAGCAAGCTTTGCACCTCAGCGCGGTGTTGGGTGGGAAGCAGCCGCGGGCTGAGATCAGCGAAGGTTTCTTTTTGCAGTCCCATACAAAAATGGAAAACAAGGGTGAGACTGTCCTTAACTGAAGAAGCTCATAGTATACTGAGCAGAAGCAATAAACCTGACAATAACAAGAAAAAAAATGGTGGCATTATCCCAAAAGGAAGGAGGAACCTTGTCACTCGAGCGGTTCAGTTTGCTCCCGCTTTGGTCCCAATATTCAGTTCTGGGTTGGGGTTGGCTTTTTTTTTTTTTCCTTTTTTCTTTTTTTAATATTTTTTAATATATATATATTTTTTATTTCAGCACAGAAGTTGCAAAGCAGGACGGGTGTTGTCGTATTTTCTCCTTCTGCGAAGCAGCTGCCTCCAGTCATTAATTGACTGTGGGCACTTGATTCCTCTGTAAACTATATTCTTTTGCCTTCAGTCTCAGGTTGGCAATACTGTTGGCCATATTCATGCCCTGCGCCGGGCTGGCGTTGGTACACGTGGTGGAGTAGGTGGCCATGGCACTGCAGGGTGGGGGAGAAAGAGAGAAACACTGGGTCACAGCGAGGTCCCTGCACTGCGGCACAATTCTGCATTACTGAGGTTAAACCCTGGGGTTTCCATCCCTGTGGGATGCGATTCTTACATGAGCATGGGATTGTCACAGTCCTTCACAGAACACCCTTGGAAATCTCTGCGCTGCAGCCCACTTGCTGAGGGACAGCCAAGGCCAGAGTTGTTCAAGGCAAGAGGAAATTTTCCACTTCCTATTCACTAACCCAAGAGATTTGCAATGAGGTCAGGGTGCCCGGCCTGCCAACTAGACCATTGTCCTTAAAACTATTCCCACTGGAAGCAATGTCCTTTTGATGAGACCAAGTTTTGTTTTTACTGCTTGAGAAAACACGTCACTTCTGAAACACATGTTACTTCAAAGAAGCGCTCCGGGAAAAACCCATTTCAACAGTTGTGATGCCTGTAGGTTGCAGAATCTTGGAAGGCAAAATTCCACATTTTTTTTCCCTCAAAACTTCAGCTGATCCTATAGAACAAGCCTTAAAGGCTGAGAGGAAAAAAACAAAACAAAAACACATTTTTGCTGCTTTCAAATCACGTATTTGTTCGTGAAAAACAGTACTTTTGGCAGCAGAGGCTGAACAAAGATGTCAGAGTCCTTTCTTATCCTACAAAAAATTTGCAAGTCTGCTTTCCAGACCACTAGAAAACTTCTTTAACTCATGCGTCCCAGGATTCTGCAAAAAGAACCCATCCCAAAAGTCACCAAACTATCTGATGTGGTACATTTCTTTATGGGGGTCCACAAATAAACACCAAGTGAACCAGAGATGCCAATTTAATACGGTCAGTGCATTTAGGAGGAAACTCCAAGTGGTGTTGGTGGTGCTCAGCCTACCAAATCACCTTCCTGGGTAGCTCATGTCTGGGAAATATTCTCCTCTACCCATAGAACCATGGAATCATAGAATCTTGAAGGTTGGAAAAGTCCTCTGAGATCATTTAGACCAACCATCAACCTATCCCATCATGCCCATGGACTCCCTCAGTGCCACATCTCCACGGTTCTTGAACACCTCCAGAGATGCTGATCCCCACACCTCCTTTCTTTCCAGCACCAACTTCCATGACTGGAAGAATTTTTGCAACAGCAAAGCTTCCCAGAGGTCCATGAGGTTTGCTGCATACACAGATGCAAGCTGTGGCTGCATGCTCATCCCAATGCACTGGTACAGCCTTAGACACCATGGGGCAGACCTCCCAGCAGTTTAAACCCAATTCAGCACTGCCTGAATTCTCCGACTGCCAGGAGATCCAGATCAGTGCTATTGGAAGGTCCCACCTTAGGTGATATTTCTCATTTTATAAGCAGGGAAAAGAACTTCAGGGAGGAATGCTACATCTGCATGGAAACAGAACAGCTCACACCCATGGAAATGATACTGAGGGCCATGTATATACAACTGCTTACAACCTCTGAACAGCACAAAACCTCTTGCAGGAGAGAAAACACTGAAGACACTTCCAGAGTTTCCAACATGGAGGTAAGACACTGAAATACACGTATTAAAGCACACCTTTTGTTCCTATTTTCCTCTAGAACAACCCAAGAAATGTCAGCCCCTCCAGCAGCCCTGAGGGCAGGAACTGTGGGGTGAGCTGCTGAGTCCCCGCATACCCCTGGGGCTCAGGGATGCTCTAGTTCTTCCATGAACTTCCATCAGCTCCTTCCCCATGTCCACCTCTGAACTGCTGACCATCCTCTGCCCCGTACTGCAGCAGCAGTAAGAGGAGGCCTATGCTGCTTGGGGCTTCCTAAGATGTATGGAGAGCTGGTAGGCACAGAGCAGCCTTTCCCACAGGTACATCTTCCCTTAGCTTAGTGCTGGAAGAAATGAGGAGAGGCAGAAGGATGCTCCAGCTTAGATAAAAGAGGAATTTTCAGCCTCGGGTGAAAACCGTCCCCATTCTTTTGCTGACATTCATAAATTTGGCTGTATTTATGACTGCTCCACTATCTCCCTTATTGAGACTCAGGTTTCCTCCTCTCCTCCCTCTCCCACAAGATTATTATTATTTTTTTTGGCATCCAAAAACCGTATGTAGCTGCTGCCCAAGTCCTGCCTACAACTCCGAGGAGCCTCCTGCTCCCCAAAGGCCTGGGGGAAATTGCTGCTGGCCCATGAAAACCCTGCTAAAGCAAAAATTCACAGAAACACTCTCCTTTAGCAAGTTGCTCCATCAGGAGCGGCACACGCAAAGGCTTCTCTTAACACTGCTCTGCTCTGAGCAGTTGTTCTAGAGACTCTCCAAGGTCTAAAGGTTGATATCACCCTGAAGTCCCCCCATTGCTCAGTCCAGATGCAGAAGCCAGGCTTTGTCCTCTCCTCAGCCGCCTATTTTCATGAAACATGGAGGAACATCATGTTTCTGAGTCCCAAAATCCTCCTTTCAAATACGGTTTTCAATGGACCACAGAGTCAAAGGTTGTTGGAGTGGGAAGTGCAGGCTGACAGCACGACTGCTAGTCTTGTTTTCTTAGGAACGCACGCTAAAATATGTCTAACCAAAACATTTCAGCTTCAAAAAATAATAGTATCTACTTGGCTATCTATGCAACGCAGATCTGCAAATAGCTTTGGTTGACCTGTAGCAGAATGTATTTGGAGAATAAACACACTGATTGAAAACTTGTCCCAGATCTAACAGTAAAAACAGCACCGGCCACGCAGCTCTCAGTCCTATCTTGAAGCAGCTGTGAATCAGAGGCTGCTGGGGCAGCCCGAGGAGGTGGGGAGGGGGCAGAGGGCCATGCAAACACTCTGCACGGCTGTTTTTTCACCAAACGTCCGATATTTTAATAACCCTACCGAGTTCAAAGCTTTTATGAGGCTCTGACAGCCTGGCCCAGGTGCCCATTAAAATGAATATGACTCAAGTGATGCCCGGCAGAATTAGAAAGCGGGGGAGCAGAAAGTGTCTAAAGGGTCACGACCACCTCATGCTGGGGAAACAAACTGCTCTGTTCCTCTGCCAATGCCACCCACCCCACTGCAGGGGCAGTGGGAGAAGACAGCCTGTCCTAGTTTGGTGTGTTAGTGGGAATGGCCGCAAGCTGCAAATGCCTTTGGCTGAAATGCTTTGGCTGTAAATGAGAGGAAGAAGTCAAGACATTGGGAAAGTGTCGTCTTCTCACCATGGAAAGGCACTGCCAGGTCTGGACCTCACCTCAGGGGGAAAAAAAATTTCCCAAGACTCTCCCTTCTCCCTTGCTCTACTTGTTTGCACACCCTTGATGTGCTGGGCTTCCCCTTGCCCAGAACAGCCCCTGACAGCCCTTCCCCATGTGCCCCTGAAGTTACCTTTGCAGGGTCTTCTCCTAGAAGCCGTTATGAAGCCCCTCGTGTAAACAACATCTTGGGAGGGACGATCTATTTTTAAAAGTGTGAGAGGTAGAAATGAGCCACAAGTGTTCAGCAGAGATCTGGTGCTGTGACCAGAGCAGACTTAGCAGGGTAGGGAAGGACTTGTGCTTCTCTCCCCTAAGCTCACCACCCAAACTCCTCCCTAGGATGCAATGCCTCACAGAGGAAAAGCCTTAACTTCTAATGGGGGATTTGCCAGTCAGTAGTCCTCAAATAAAATCCAGAGGATAAGGACCATTTCTAAGACCAAACCGGTGGTCATCAGAAGCATCTTTTGCAGTTTCTGCAGTGGATGAACCTAAGATTTGTTCTTCTGGAGCTACTGGGTGGGCAAGGGTGACCCCATGGCACAGAAACAACAAACTATCAAGGAAGCAAAATGTTTCCAGACCTCACTGTGCAAACAATGTTTGGGGTGCACAAAGGAGGTCAAGGCGGCTAAAGAAGAAAGGACCTGGGTTTGGTGTAACTCCTACAAGCCAGTGGGAAACTGGCTGTGACAAAGCCAGGTGAACAGAAAGAAATTCAGCCAAGGGCTACAAGAACTTGACCAACAATGAGGTCACTATCCTAAAAAACACCCAACAACCTCATTTTTACTTGCCTGCAAGTCAGCTGGCTCCCCACAAACCAACATATCCAGTGGATCTTGCATCCACAGTTCCCATCAGGTTGTGGAGAGGACAGAAGAGAACAGGGAGACCTGTGATGTGTGTGGACATCCCAGTTCCATTGAGCAGATCAGGGCTGACACATATGCATTTCTTTACCACCACTCCTTAAGCAATGCTAGCCATGGGAGATGGATGTTGAACCCCAGTCTGCCACCCAAAAATACCGGGTCCTGACTGCAGGCAAACCACAGTACAGCAGTACAGCTCATTCAGATACGTGCTTGTGCTCTAGCTACTAGAGAGCAAACACTCCATTCTGACAACTCTGGGGAGGGTTGGGAGCAATATGCCTGGGATGAGTTCTCACTACTTACTGCCATGGGACAGCCACAAAAATCCTTCTCCTGGTCACTGCATGGTGACTCAGTCTCCCTAAGTGCTCTGCCATAACTTCTCCTGGCTATGCGCCCCATGGAAATATTTCCTCCTTGCTTCAAATTAGATGCACAAGAGAAGTGAGTGTTACCCCTTCCGCTTCCATGTACTCCTACCTGATCATAAACAGCCCGTTAGAGCTATTGAAAACAAATGCACTTAAGGGCCATGTTCAGGCTGCTCTGAATCATGCCAGCAACTGAGCAGCCCCAGAGGGGTTACTGACTCACCTGTAAGGCGAAGCGGTACCCCAGGAGAGATAGTCGGTGGGTCTTGGAGCTGGGCGAGGTACTATGGGCTGCTCCACGGCGGTCACGTCCCCTGAGTAGGATTTGAGCAGAGAAGCATTCTTGCTGGCCAGCATGGCCCTCTCATTCCGGCGAAACTTGGCTCTCCGGTTCTGGAACCACACCTGGGATGGGAAGCACACAGACCAACCACCCATCACAACCAGCACTGCTGCGGTGCTCGCTCCTTCACCACACCACCCCAGCCCTGCTGGGCAAGATGGGACCCTGCAAAAGCAAGTTCTCTATCACTGGAAACTCTAATGCAAGACAATCTGTAAGTCTGCTCTGGTAGAGCTCTTGTGTAATAGATTGACTCATCATGGCCCCTGTTCTGTGCTGTACAACCCATCATGTTCCCCAATGCGCCTTCACCTTCAGGAGATGCAGACTTGCAAGCTAAATGCTGAGCAGCTCAAATTGACATCAGCAACCTGCGCACAGCACATCCAGCATCCTAACCTTCAAAAGGCTCTATGAATACATCTGTATGAGTAGGTGGCAAGTACAGAGGCAGATCAGGCCTGGCAGCCTTCCTCAAGACATGGCATCCTTGGGACTGACACATGAGATAACCCAAGATTTGGTGACCTTACTGTCCCATGTGGACTTCAATGATATCTACTGCCATACTGAATGGCCCAATGATGCCAGCTAGGTGAGGTTTGCCTACATACAGGCTGTGAGAATTACCTGAACTCTGGCTTCAGTGAGGTTGACTCTGCGTGCAAGGTCTTCCCGTACAAAAGCATCAGGGTAGTGTGTCCTCTCAAAGACCCTCTCTAGTGCCTGGAGCTGGCTGCTGTTGAAGGTAGTCCTGTTCCTTCTCTGCTTTCTTTTCTTCTTCTCTTCTGAATTCAGCTGATCATCTAGGAGAGACAATTGGAGATATGAAAGGCTAGAAGTTTCAGAGTCCATAGCAATGTTGTGATCTGAATGTTAAGAAGTACCAGAGCGGACAATAGTTCCAGCATGCCATCATCCTCACTGTTTTGCCATCTCCAAAACATCCTTTCATTTGCCAGCTAGGCATGCTCAGAGGTTGCCCTTGGGGATCAGCTGCTTCAGGAAGGTCTGACACCAATTCCTGTCTACTTTGGAGAAAGATTCTCCTCCTCCACTCTCTTGTCCTCATCTGACTTGTATGCATCTTTATATGCACAGACTTCACATGCTGCTCTTTACCCCAGCATCCCTGAGAGCACTCCTTCCAGAAGACATTTATCGTAAATGGAGAATCTACACATGCCCACAGACCCAGTTTGCCTCCCTACCCCATTCTGACAACACCAGAGACTTTTCTGAATATGAAAAATCACAAACTGCTCCTTTCTGGGCTTCTAATTCCCAAGGAATGCCCTTAGAGAAATGAAATAGATCTCTCAGGGAAGTACAAATCCCATGCCTGCTTTGACTGGGACACAGCATACTCATCTCTATGTAAGGAAAAGTAAGGAGCCAGCTACTACTCTGGGACTGACTATAGCCAAGGCAGTGCCACTCTCTGTAAGCCACTCTGTTTGGCTTAAACAAGAACTGCACTTGCACCCAGATAAGAGACATTGGTTTGAGCAGAGTTGGGGAGATGTTAACAAAGAGGTGTCAGGGCTAAAAAAGAAACAAATACAAAAGCCAGTTTTACTTGTATGCTCATAGGCCCTTTGCCTTGCACTTGTCCATCTTTAAGTGCCCCAGTCCCCACATTTCAAGACTCAACATGTGATGGGCCCCACCAAAACCAGCACATTTCTATGCTGCCAAGCACATCGCGTGGGCAGTGGTGGAGAGGTCCTGTTGTTTCATGTAGGGGAACAGTAGCTAAATCTGGGAGGACCACAGCCAATATCTGGATGAACACGTGTTAAAATACATCAATTATTGTACCTACAAAACACATAAGTGAATTACACTTGATGTTAATTAATATGCACCTGGGCCCAGATGACAGTGCCACCACTCAGTGTCCAAGGGCTTAAATCACGCTATGCGGTTGCAGAATAACCCACCAAACATCATTCCTTTTGCCATACAGAAATGTGACAGCTCCGCTCATCTTCCCATTCTCGAGAGGGTACGTAAGGCACAGAGAGATGCTGACAGGGAAATTAAAGTCCACAGCTATTGTCCTCACCACCTGTTTGTGCTGCTTTTCACAGCCTGGTTACAGTTCACATCTGGTTACAGTTACCGCACCTGAACGCCTTTGGAACAGCGCCTATCCATTTGGGAACAAGAGGACATTCTTCTTAAATTAAAGGAGCTTTTCCAAATTCCTGCGGGTTTACAGCCCTTCCATCCCCTCTCCAGCAACCTGACAATCCCCACCAGGCTCCTCTTCAGCCTGGGGATTCCTGGGTGCAGAAATACACCACAGCTCTCTAGTATCTGAGAGGAAGCATTTGGAGATGAGCCAGGAGGGGACTTGCAATGGGATGTGCAAAGAAAAGAAATACACGTAGGAATCCTGAGAAAGCTCCAGAGAGACCTCATTACAGCCTTCCAGAACTTGAAGGGAGCTTACAAGCAGGAAGGGGATTGACTTTACATTGTCTGACAGTAGTGGACAAGGGAAATGGCTTTAAACTAAAAGAGAGGAGATTTAGACTAGATGTTGGAGAAATGTTTCATTCAGAGGGCAGTGAGGTGCTGGCACTGCTGTCCAGAGCTATGGGTGCCCAAGACCATGGATGGGTCCTGGGCAGCCTGAGCTGGGGAGCAGCCAGCCCACAGTGGGGGAATAGAGGGGGGAGGGTATGGGGGGACTTTGAGGTCCCTTCTGACCAAAGGCATTCTATGTTTCTATGATTCTACGCAGTTCATCACATCTCAAGATGTGGAAAGAGAAACTGGGAAGCAGAGGGATAGAATCAAACTGGTGCTCGTGCAGAGCATTGTGCATATTTCCACTTGTAGGGTCTGCCCACAGCAGGGAAAAGGAAGCCCTGCAACTTCCACCTCAGAGTGCTCATCCAAAGAGGCTCCACAGGTGAGCACTGGCACAGCTGTGCACCATGCAACTCAGCAAACAGAGAACCAACCTTGGGGCACGATCACCTCTTCAAATGGCACAAACGCTGCAAGTTCAGCTGCTATCAAAGTCAATGTCAACATGGACATTGTTCTTCCTTCTGAGCTCCCCATTCAATTCTCCTTTTGGATCTTAACCCTGTGTATGCAGACCAGATGAACAAATCTCTGAAAGCCTTTGGAACTTCCTGGGAGTCTGCCAGGCTTTTCAAGATCCTCTCCAGCCCAGAAGACACCCAGTGGAAGGCTCTTGGGGCTGCCTGGCCATTGCTCAGATCCTGCGTGATGCTTCCATACAAGGAAACGTGAGCACAGCGCCCTGAGGGACAAGAAGTAAGCAAGCCAAAGGCTGTACAAGGCTGGGGAACAAAAAACCCTCCTGCCAAACACGTTAACACCACTTGCCTGGTTTCCTCCCGGAGCAAAGCGAGACAGTGGTGATTCACAGCTCACCTCCTAACCGCTGGGCTGAGCGGCGGAAGGATGCCGGCATTACCACAGTGACTCAGGGCCAGATCACCTCCAGCCCTGGCTGGCATCAGGCAGGGACGTGAGTCACTGTCCCGGCACCGAGCGGCAGAGCTCAGCCTGCACAGTGGGCTGCAGCTTTGAGGTCTCCCTTTGCTGCACATCTGGAACAGCGCAGCACAGCTGGATCCAAGCGATGTGGGCAGGAGGAAAAAAACTACAGAACGGCCGTGTGAGCCCAGAGCTGGGCTGACAATCAGCCCTGCTGGAACTCCTTGTCGCGTTGATATGCCACAGGACAACTAAAAACTGCTAACGAGGGAATGCAGGCACTAAACCCCACGGGTCTGCAAATGTCACCTTGCTCACAGCATTTAAGGCAGCCTTTGACATGTTGACAGATATATATATATCTGTCATATATATATATATATTTTTTTTTACACCAGTCACAGAAACATAGAATTGCTCAAGTTGGAAAAGACCTTCAAGTATTGCTTTTCCTTATCAGGAAGGAGCCCTGACAAATGGTACCCCTAAATTATGTTGACAGCACCAATGCCTGGAGTCAGCAGAAACAGAAAGAAGAGGAAACAAGCTCTAAAGTTCTTGAGATGGGTCAGGAGCCTTTCATCAACATTCTTTTAATCAGAAATATTACAAACAGTGTTCTTCAAAGCCCTGCTTCTCGCAAGTGAGGCCCCTGAGGAGAACGAGATGCACGCTCCTCTGCTCCGGAACCAGTGCTGGATATTCTGAGAAGTTCATTTCCAAATCCCAGTGTTTCACACTGCACTGGGGGGATTTTGTTTCCTGTTTCCATATACGTGTTTTTCCTGTACGAGCTCTACGTTCATGCACTACTTAAAAATCCAAACGCACTTCTAGGACGCTCCAGAGCACTTCTAACTGCTCCCAAATAACACAGTGTCCTATCCTTTCCTCCTCACTCATCACGTCTCCCCGTGCAACAGGGCAGAACCGCTGTCTTCATGTCAGGGACAGTCACTGGAGTATCATCAGATGGGTCTGTTGGGATGTCACATTGAAAATATAACAAACTATAAACCAAACCAGAGCTCCGAACTGTATGCCTACATGTAACTTACAAGAGCAGTACTTTTTCCAACAGTACATGCAACCGCGACAAATTTTGGATTTCCAGTTTGTAGGAATGCCTGTACATACTTGCTTTCATTCCAGGTCGGAATAAAAACAAATTTCCAGATGGGGTTTACATTGCGTGGGCAGTTTTGAAAAGTTTTGACCGGTTCTATGAAGTCTTGAAGCAGAGGTTAGAGAGCATGTATCAGATCTGAACTGAAAGTCAACAATTGGGTCTCATTAAACAAGAGACTGAGATGTCCAGCTGCAAATCACTTACAGTAAAGCTGGGCAGATCTGTCATATTGGTTATATAAACTGTAAACCAAGGAAGGATTCCAGGAAAAAAAAAGGAATCACGCTGTAATCATTGCCTGAAAAACAAGAAGTTACCACCAGAGATTGAATACGGATTAAAGAAAACCAAAACAAATCTATTTCATGGGAGAAAACAAAGCTAGAAACTAAAAACCCAGCAACTGATAACTCCTCAAAGGTCAAAAAAATCCCGCAAGCCAAAAAAAAATGAAGGTTTTACTTGGAGTAGTAGGGGAGAAAGAAAAATAGAGAACAGAAGGGAGAGGAAAAATCTTTTGCTTGGGATTGAAGTTGAATTTTAAGACCTTCGCAGGCACACTTTGCAATTTTATCCACTCTGCTTTGCTTTCGGTTCGTTACATTCATCCAAAATACTGTCATTCCTAGTGTACAGGAATCGACACAAGAAAAAGAAGGGGAAAAAAAGAGCTGGAAAGGTTTAATCAAAGCTAATTCTCCTTCTGTAGCTCCAGTGTCCCAACAGATGTCCATGGGACAGTGACACGGGTGCGAGATGCATCACTCCTACACAAGACCTCAAATTATTTCAGTTACACAGAAAATTGCAGTATGTGAAGCTGTCTTGTTTGGATCACCAGGAACACAGGAATGAGAAGAGGAAAAAAAAGAAAATAATAGAAAGAAACAGATGCTGCATTTTTTTAAAAACGTCTTCGGGTTTGATTATCTCATGAACTAGTCAAGTTCACCTCCTTCACAAGAAAAAAAATGGCTATTTTGTGAACAGGGTGTGGGACTTCAGAAAGGCAATATTGAATTTTTCACATCAAAATTCAGTTTTAATATAAAATAGAAAAGCGTGTGCATTTCCAGCGTTACCCAGGGGACGACAGCAGTTCCTCTCCGAAGTGTCTGCAATGTGGAACTTATCAGGGTAATTTCTAGCTGACCGCATACAAACAATTACATATCATTACAGAGCTGTGAATAG